TTTTCAATGGCCAAATCGTGACTTAAATTGAGGGGGAAGTGCTGTTCCATTTCTGTTTTGCTGGAAATTCTAGGAGAGGATAGCAAATTGAGTTATGAGCTTATGGTTAATGTTTGGTGCTGTTTCGAATCGGTTATGGAAGAAATTACCCTAGGACCTATGACTATTCAGTTCAGCCAACTAAAGAACTCAAGGGTAGGAATTGTTTCAATGAGTTTTAATGGTTCTAATGGATTTAAAATGTGATTTTGTGTAGGATTATGCTATGAAAGTATGTTTAAATTCATTGGAATCAAATGTGAAAATTTATGAACCTAAGAGGAGGTGTTCGGCCATCTTGAATTCATGGACTTATGATTGGATTTTGATGGTTTTGATGCTTCCATTGAATTCGTTGGGTGTTTTTGTGTAGGGTTATGTGGAGGAATTGAATTTGGAAGCATTAAAAATCAAAGTTGGAAATTTTGACATCTTTCCTTGTAAAAATTTGTTTATGTTTTGACCAGAACTTAAGGAAGGGATTTGATTTTGTAAAATTTGATTTGATATTTAAATTCTACATGAAAAATCATGTAGGAATGACGAAGGAAATTTCTTGAATCAAAGGGAAAACAATTAGGCCAAAAATCCAAAGAAAGAGGGTTTAATGTTTAAGTAATGTGTAATGTGTTTGAATAATTGAATGATTGGCATTGGTGCTAGTTTGATAGGTACCTTGCCAAATGCTCAAGAGAACATCTTGAACCTAAAGGAAATCAAGAACCAAGTGTCAAAAAGTAGCATTGAATTACACTTTGATTGCTTTCTTGCTTACATTGATGTGTTAATGTGTATGTGTGCAATGTGTGCCATGATGTGACTAAGCTTTATTGCAAATGTTGATTGCAATATTTGAATTATGTTGCCTTGGAATTATGTCCACTAATATGTGTATGATAGCTTACTTTCCATGACATAAAAGCATGAACACATAAACAAGATAAATGCACAAAAGCATTGCATGTAGTGTTTGCATGAATGCATGATAATTGTGATTATATGCTACTAGGATTTCTTTGAAATCTCACTCTTATGTTTAACACCATCTAGGAGGAAGTTCAAGCAAAGGCAAAGGCAAAGATTTTGTCTCGGAGGCCTAATGAACAATTAATGTACCCTAGTGTAAATTTTAGAACTTGTTATGTAATATTATGACTTTGGAAATGTTTGTTGGATAGTAGCTCCTGATGGGAGCAAAGCATGTATGCCTATGTTTAAACGTGTGAAAGTATAGTAGAATGTATGTTTAAGCATGTGTTAAGTCCCAAATGATTAAGGATGGGTAAAAGGTTAAGAAAGAACCAAAACAAGTGTAGTTAGGGGATGAACTTTTCCTATAAAGGACCAAACTTGGTACATACGAAAAAAATAGCAAATGTTTGAATCTAGACTTGAAATTTGGCAGACTTATAGATCATATTTTTAGCTTTAAATCAAGTGGTAGATCATTAAATTTGGAATTTTACGCAAAGATCTATGCCCTTCTAAAGTTGGACAAAAATAGTGAAAATTCCAGAATTTACCAAATGAACAGTACATAATTGTGTGGAAACTGGTATTGATCTGTGAGAAACTGATACCTATGAATATTTTTTCTATGTAGAGCATTTCATAAGCTTCACGTGAGACTTGGAATCACTTCGTTTGATTTTTCTACATTTAGTTATGATTTTTTAAAGTTGACCTGATTTTTAGGGGTTACATGAATAGTAACCGAAATCAAAATTTTAAATCTTAGATTTTACCTACTTTGAGCATCGTGTAATGATTCTGAATGGTTCCAAATGACGTATAATGGGGTTTAAAATGAAGGTGTGACATTTTTGGTATCAGAGCAATGGTTCTGGACTGTCTTTTATATGTACTGTTCAATATGGTAATGCATTAGGATAATGCATATTTGATTATGTGTGATGTGTTACGTCGTGAAAGGTGTGTATTAGACTAACCTTGATGCAGGATATGGCTTGTGTGAGTACGATTCTCCTGGGGTATAGTTAATCAGAGAGGGCCAGGGAAACCATATTGAACTGGTACCACCCACATGTTCCTGACCCCAATGACCCGACTCCACCACCTGGATATTATCAGTCTCTCTGGGAGGTAGAGGATATAATTCCCGAGGTAGACTCCGACGATAATAAAAGGTTAGAGGACGGTGATGCTGGGAGTGTTGTGATGCCTAAACCTAATCCAGAAGAAGCGAGCCCTAGTGGGATGAAGTCACAGCCTCTCAGACCATTGTGCCATGGTCAGATCTTGGAGAAGGACCTGCCTCGGAAGAAGAGGCAACGGTTAGTCACGAAGGAGCTGCACACCTATCAGGCTATTTTTTTAGGAGCTCTGTGAGTTGGGGAGGCAGATTGACATCTCCCAGAACCATCATGGGTATATTTATATGGACTATTTTTACTACGTACGCCTGTTACATAGTGATATCGTTAACCAGGACGAGGGAGAGATAGATGAGGAGATGTGGGGACAGGCCTTAGTTGACACTTTGCCAAGGACTCCTGTTTGGCAGGATCAGATCCAGTTGGTTAGTGATCATTCCAAGCAAGGCGCCTATGAAAGCTTTGATCAGATCCTGGACGAACTCGAGCCTTTTGTTACTTCTTATTTTCCTTTCTCTCCCATGTCTTGAGTGGATGACTGTAAATGTGACTTGGATGATCTATGTTTTGGATGCTTATACCTGAAACCTATCTATGTACAAATATGAAGCATAGCTTAGTATAAAATATTTTGATGACTAAGTAATAATCTTATTCCTCTATTCCTCTTGTAGTAACAAGTTAAGTAAAATGGTGAGAACCCGAAGAGAAACACAACCAAGGGAGGCAGTAAGAGACCCTCCCATTGAACTGATTTAATTGGTTATGGACCGACTGGAGGAACAGCAGAAGGTGATGCAAGAAATTTAGGCAGCCCAAGCCCACCAAAACCAGGAACGTGATGCTGCCATAACAGCCGCAGTGACAGCAGCGATAGCATAGTTGCAACAGGCCGGGCTAAGAGTGGCTGAGGCACCACAACCAGCTCAACCCCAAGAGCCAACAGCTGAGCAGGTGCGACCTGCAGGGGATCCTGATTCACTAAGGCAGTGGATCAAATGATTCAGTGCATAGAATCCCCCGAGCTTCACAGGGACATTGAATGCCCAAGTGGCCAAGGATTGGATTACTCAGCTAGAGAAGATTTTTAATGTGCTTGAATGTTCCTCTAAGATAAAAGCTCAGATGGCTATCCATAAACTGGAGGGCGAAGCTGATCGCTGGAGGAAGAACACCGAGATGATCCTCCAAGAGAATGCAACCCCTATTACCTGGGAAGTGTTCAAGGAACATTTTAATTTGAAATACTTCCCCCTATCAATAAGAGATGAAAAGGAGGTGGAATTTCTGATAATTCAACAAGGTCCTTGAGAGTCCTTTGATGAGTACCTAGACAGGTACATGAGGCTTTCTCGTTACTCTAACTACCTCCAACTCCACAATGATGAGCGGTGGAAAACAAAGAAAATGGTAAGGGGACTAAGGTAGGAGCTGAGAGAGAAGGTAGCCCCATAGCAACTTGAAAAGTTCAATTAGGCAATGGAAGCCTGCCGGATTACTGAAAGTAGCCTAAACCATCAGGCGCTAGTTAGGGCCGCTCCTAGACCAGAAGGACCAGCAACAAGGGGCTGACTAGAGGGGACTTCTTCCGGAGGAAATAGGAAGAGGCGAAAGCCTATGTTTTCCAAGAAGTCTAAGCGAGGAGGAGGAGTAAGCCAAGGAGGAAGCAACACTACGCGCCAGACCAAGGAATGCAGCACCTGTGGTAAAAACCACGGAGATCGAAGTAAGAGAGTGATTATTGAATTGATGTTGGTCTTAAATATAAGACCTATTTCTCATGTTTATTAATTTTTCTAAATTACCTCCATTAATATTCCCTTAACCATAATCAAGAGAGTGAGGAAGGATATTAAAGAAAATAATTATGGTATTTTAAGAAAGATATGTTATATTTTTTATAGTTAACTAACTTATTTAACTTTTTTAATATAATCAAATTAGTTAAATAGGCCTTTTATTAAGGATAAAAAAAAGTATAATTAAAAAGTACAAGGAAAAACGCATTGTTAATACTAAATCCAAACTTGTCATTCCACAATTAAGACTTGCTATTCCCAAATGAATTGTTATCATTTTTAATTGATTACATGTTATGTATTAGGAAAAATGGGGTATTAACCCCAAATTCAAAGATGTCATTTCACAATTAGGACTTGTTATTTTGAAATAAATTGTTGCCATTTTTAATTAATTTGCATGTTATGTATCAGAAAAAAAAATATTTTGTTAATCTCAGATCTAAACTTCTTTCACAGTTAGGATTTGCTAGTTCCAGATGAATTGTCATCACAAATTGAAACCAAAGTAAAAAAAGTTAACTTATAAATATATATTATTTTGCATTAGAACATTAATAAAATTATTTGGCTTAATGATCACTCTTAATTTTGAAAACCACCTAGTTCAGGATCAAATTCCACCAATGCTACTTTCTTTACTATTTAAAAAAAAAAATTCCTCATACCAAAGAGAAGAAATGCTCCCACCGGCAGCCACCTTGTCAGTGGTCGATGCTGGAGCTCTGACACCAACGAGTGGCTAACCACCAACAAGGAGTTCCAAACTTAAAAAATATATATTTATTATTTTCTTTGAATTTTGAAATTTTCAATTTAGAGTTAATTCCTTTTTAATCATTTTGAAGTGTTAAATACTTGATTTGGAATATCATAATTTTGAATTTTATTTGTCACTTTCCATAGCTTTTTATTTAATTTAATATCATTAAACACATGCATCTACACAAATATGTTAACATTAAGCTCAAATCCACAACCTCATCCAAACATAGGGGCGGTGCCTAAAATAGTTAGTGCATGAAGGTAAAAATATACATTCTAAGTAGCATTGAAATTGCTAAATTACTTTCTCCAAATCTGAAAGTACAAAGACATGAGAACATGCAACAATCAGCAGACTGAAAATAGCTAAAATTCAGAAAAAGAAATAACTATATCACTTCCTAGATTAGAAAAAATCGAGTAGGCAATAGAAGCATTTTCCTAGTTACTGATCAAGTCACAACACAAGATCTTCATTGTTGGATTGTTTACATGATGTTTAGTTTGGCTTTGCATAATTATCAGGCCCTAGCACTACTCTGCATTGATATCATCAAGACTTCTCATGCCGCCCTTTGTGCAATCGACTAACCTCAATCTCTGCACGTTTGGTCTTCCTCTTCGAATTTAACGAAGGGATTTTGAGTTAAAGAACCATGCTAGTGTTGGATTGAACTAAAGAATTTAATACAATCAGTCCACAATTTGTTTTGTCAGGTGTCTGTTCTTCATTCTTCATGGCCCATGCCAGATCAAACTACCCGTTGAGGAACAGTTGCTTTAAAGCACCTGTAACTTGAAAGGAACGTGCTATTGTAAAAATATGAAGTTAAAAAGGCGGAGATACATTGAATATGAATTAGGGGGAAAACACCTTGGTTTCTTTAATTTTTTTTATATCAATTCTACGCAGCCAGCAGCATAAATATGAATTAAAAAAAAAAAAAAAGACACAGATCTCATCAGCATATCCTTGAGTAGCAGGAAGCGTAAATTGCTCTAGCAGTCTGAACAAGACTCAAAGTGATGCCTATGCACTTTGCCCCAAATTCCTTTGCCATATAACTTGAACTGCCACCGATGCCAGAGCCAACATCAAAAATGGTCTTGGGCCACTAAGCTGAGTCCTCCAGCCGCTAAGAGATAAAATTAGGAGCAACCTCCATTACATACCACTATGTTGTATCAATGGCGGCAAAATCTTGCATCAAAACTTCAATAAGCCAGATTCCCTCTAGTGCCTAGTGAAATGAGGAGAGACATGGAATTAGAGGTAAAGCCCAACTGCCCCTGCAGGGCCTCACCCCTTTCTTTCTTTCGTCCTACCTTTTCTTCTGAAGGATCCACTCCAGAACTTCAGGAGCATTGTCAAGTAGCTCCAGATGATTAGCAGCTCTGGCAACCGGAAAAGGAGTTTCATAGATTTGACCTCAAATACAAGCCCGTCAAAGCAGGAGTTCGTAGTTGGTAGTTGGTAGTTGGTAGTGATTCTAGGCTTTACCTTTGTATATATATGAAGCATTGTACCATTCACCTAAAATAGATACAAGAAACATTCATTCGATATTCCTATATTCTCAATACATGGAAAGAATGGAATGATTATATCATTAACGAGAAAAAAAAAAAAGATCTCACACAAAGTTAAGGATGCTTTTCAATGGTGTCATGGTTGCTGTCATTGCTGGCCATCGGTGGAATCCATTACTTCTATCGAAAGCAACTATTCCAAGGAAGAACACAAATCAGGTTCTTTGTATTTTAACAAAAGAACTAAAACTGCTTTTATTAAAATCAGTGATAATGATGTTTCCAAAATGAAGTGAAACAACAAACTTTTTCCGGACAAGAATAAATTATAAATTACTAGCCATCACGTTGTAGTTGTGTTATCCTATGCGTGAGAAAGTCTTGTTGCATACGTCAATCTTTACTTGTATGGATCACACGAGACGTTCATGGTCTATGAAAGAAAATTACCCAAGAGACTGTGCCATCCCTTCTCTTAGGAAAAAAAAACTGAAGGCGTAGCATTTTATTGCAAGCATTTCTCATTTATCTGACCATATCTGGTCATTCGTGAAGAAAACAAATGTCAAGGAAACATGGTTGAAGCACTACTTTCGTGCAGTCCTTGTGAACTTCTTTTAGGGTATTTGGTAAGAAAAGCACAAAATCGTGGAGATACGCAGTTTTGATGGTTGCAACAAAATGCAATTTATAAATTGTGAAATGCAGTATGTTTACGGGTGTCCTGGGAGTAAAGTAGATGGGTGTTTAAGGGAATTTTCAGTTTTACCCCTATAAAGACACAAGACAGTAGACACAATCTCTAACTACAGGAGCCTTTGCACCTTTTTTTTTTCCCCCTTTTTTTCATTTCAATTGTTCTTTCGATATGTCCTGCACTTGTAAATTTCCCCATTTAACAATGCAATATTAATTACAATTAGGAGGGAAAATCTGTAAATAAATACATACCATACTAATCAATCTGCACTGCAAGAGAAGAGAAATTAAGCACAACGCCAATTCTTCATTCACAATATCTGCAATCAAAATGTTTCTTTGTTAGTGATATTTCCAGAAAATGTTCATAGGACAAATAGATGTGTCTAGACTTGAATGAATCTGTATATTCATAGGACAAAATTAAAAATGTGTCTAGACTTGAATGAATTTGCAACAACTTCTAAGTTGGTATAATTCCAACTTTACAAGATATTTTTTAACTCAGTTTCTATCACCAATTGATTAACCAAGGTGAGAAACATGCTTTAAGATACAAGATATACATGTTGGTCTTACCTGATGATCGTGATAGCATAACTGATAAAAGACAGCTATAGTCCATATTTTGTTTTGTGAACAAATAGATTTTACTCAAGATCATTTCCTCAACAATGAAATGCTATGTCAACTTCACAACTAAAGTAAGCTTCAATTTTCATCCTTTCATATTCTAAATACTTTCTCCTTTCAAGTAGTTTTGACATAATGGGGAGCTTGGCTGAAACACATGAGAAGCTTCTTTCCTTTCTTCAGAGCTCTTTGAAAAGTATTGTCACATATCAACTGATATTCATGCAGTCTTCTATTTTCACATAAATTGTATGGTGACCCATGTAGGATATGTTGTTAATTTTTGGCGATCATTTCTTGACATATTCTGGATCCAGAATCATTTAGTCCACTTCTGCAGAAACAGTATAATAACATTTCAAAAGATGCCCCCTTTGGGTATAATCCCCTTTTGCGCATTAAACACACAAGTGACATTGCATCAAGAAGCCTTCCAGCTCTCATGAAGCCTTTCAATAAAGTGTCATAAGCAATCCTATCCGGAACACAACCATCTACATTCATCTTGTTGAACAATCTCACAGCACTGTCAATATCATCCAATTGAATATACCCATGAAGAAGAATGGTATAAGTCACATGATTAGGGCACACACCTTCCTTTTGCATCAGTTGAAAATGGTTATATGCATCATTAACCATTTCTTCCCTACAAAGCCATGATATTATGCAGTTGTTCAGGTAGAGATTATCCGTAATTGCAGCACCTTTAAAACCCTTTATCAACTTCCTAGCCAACCATTTCAGGGCATCAGAAGAATTGGCTGGAACTCTTATGCTGTTTTCAATCGCAGGAAAGGGACTCCAATTAAGCAAATATAATAGCATCTCTTTTCCCCATTCAGACTTCCTTGGTAAGTTGTAATCTTTATTATTCTTACGAGAGATATATCTGCGAACTCCATTCACAAATGCCATGCACATCATAAGATCCCAAGTTACCTCATTTTTGCCCGCTAGATTAACTAACTTAAGGGCAACTCCAAACTCCCTGTTCTTCATGAAATGTAAGATAAGAGAGGTATATAACACAGCATTCGGCACCATACCATCCTCCAACATTTTGCCAAGGTATATACACCCGTCTTCAATCATGTGCTTCTCAACTAATCCACTTATGAGAATAGTGTAAGAACGATAACTTGGTTTGATGGAATTCTCTATCATTTTGTCAAATAATTCTCGAGCTTCAAGTATTCTTCCATTCATGGAGTATCCATAAATCATTGTAGTATAAACAGCCTCATCAGGATCTACACCACACATAAGCATTCTCTTAAACATGTCTTCTGCTTCAGTAATTTTTCCTTCTCTAACTAAACAGCCGATAATCGAGTCATAAATAGCAACAGAGGGCTTCATTCCTCTCTCTTCCATTTGGTCCAGGAAGTTCACTGCAGAGACTACATCACCCTGATTACAAAGCTCATTTATAATTATCAAGAACGTTGCTTGATCAGGAACCAAGCCACGATCTTCCATAAGGTCAATTACAAAGTTAGCATCCTCAAAATGCCCCATTTTGCTCAAACACTTGATAAGTGAGTTGTAACAGAAATGCAAGGGCCTGTATCCAGCATCATCCAATTTTTTCAAACGGACTAATGCCTTGTCTATTTCTCCTTTCTCACACAAGGCATTGATATAAATACTACAGGCTACAATAGTTAAGTTGATGTTTTTCCTCGCAATTCTCTCCAACAAGAGTTCGATTTCTTGCTCAAAATCAAAATCTGGATTTGGACTAGAAGAAGCAGGCAGCATAAGATCAATCCCACATCCATTCTTAGCAAGGGCCTGCAAAATTGTGAAGGCAAGCTCTAACTCGCAAACAGGCAAAATCTTCACAAGTTTCAAATACAGCACATGATCAGGAATAACATTGCTTTCCATCATAGTTTTGTACAACTCATAAAACTCTTCCACTTTATTATGCTTGTACAGCGCAGAGAACAAAACAGTGTAACAATGAACATTGGGGGCTACTTTAGAATTAATCATATTGTAGAAAAGTGTTAAAGCAAGATCAAATTTTTCTTCTTTGCAGTACTGGGCCATTATAACTTGATAAGTCACCACATCAGGCTTAATTCCCCACTCCATCATCCTGTCATGCATAAACCAGCCTTTGTCATATAGACTCAACTTCATAAAACCATCAATTAAAATATTACACATGGATCGATCTGGCTGACAACCTGTCTTCAACATTTTAAAGAAAACCTGCATGGCCACCTTCATTCTTTTGTCTCTACAATACATACGGACCAGAGAAGTATACATTGTTTTGTCAATATATATACCTTGGGATTCCATTTCCCCAATTATTAACTCTGCCTCCGATACTCTGCTACCCTTGTAGAGACCATAAAACAGTGACTTGTATATATGAACTGTAGGGAGATGTTTATGATAGTTCTGCAACAGATTAAACACTTGAAGTGCCTCATCCAAATGCCCTTTATGGCATAGCCCATCAATTAATAGACTATAGCACTCAAAACTCAGTTCTGCTTCTGCATATTGGGCTCTAAGAAATAAATCAAATGCATCCAAATATCGTTCTTGGGCATAACACTTTTGTAGAATGCCAAGGCATGCTTCTTTCTGAGGCACAAAATTGAAGGAAAGAAGCCTATTAAAATGATTTATTGCATCTTCTACCTTTCCCAACTCACATGAGCAGACTACCATAGAATTCAAAATCGAAGGGTCTGCATTATTGCCTCGAGATTCAATTTCTATCAAGTAAAGCGACTCTGCTAATTGTGGCTCCCCTAAACTCACCAGCTTCTTTATTAAGACAGCATAGGTATCTAAATCAAGGTCCAACCCACGACCAACAGCAGAATTAGCAACTGAAACGGCATCAGCAACAGACATAGAATGGCTGATCATCCTTTGAATGACTAGCTGAGCAGATGAAAATAAACCCCTTTGTATAAGCTGATCTGCTAGGGAATGGCAAAGATATTTGTGGCTTCCAGAAGGAATAGAGATTGCCATGTCTAAAGGGTCAATAGGAAGAGCACAGGTTGTTACTTCTCTCCTGATTCTAAAAAATAAGTTAGAAGAAATTAACATCTTCTTGATCATCTTCTTCAACAACACGTTACACTGCAACACCAAGTGTTTCAGACACCAACCTGAGTGCCAAAAAGACAAACTTTCAAAGATCCAAGGGAAAAAATTGCAATCCAAGAGAAAGGATCACAGAAAGTGTAATGACAGTGACCAATATTAAAGTCAAATAGGATGGATGGCAAAGAAAACCAAATTAATGCTCACTTAAGTTATTCACAAAGAATGAACTTAAAACAAGAACAAGAGACACCATATGAAAGTAGACTAATCAGACTCTTTTATGGCATTGCTGTCACAATAGGTCTTCTTCCACAAACTAATTTTCCTATTATTTCAAATTTAATTAAAAATGAGAAATATTTAATAGTGAGAAAATCACTGGGGGTAAAAAACTAAAAACAATCTCTACACATTAGGCAATCACCTATACTGAAATGAGTAAACAAACAACTCTTACAAAGGCAAACCACACTTTACATGAATAATACATGATAACTAACAATCCCCCGTACACAAAACATCTTAATCACATTGGATACCCAAAAAAATTACCATGCTCTGATAAATTTTCTTGTGGCTAAAGATTAAACTAACACCTGAACTTGATAATACCCAAAGCTAATAATTAGACTTAAAACCATTGAGATCATGCTACACCAAGTCAAGCAGGCGCAACATGCAAGTTTGCTCATTCACAGTTTTCAACGACCTAATCTACCTATCTAATCATAGACAGTGAATCACTTGGATAACTAAAATGATGTGCATAAATGTTAGAATCAAAATCATGAAAAGAAGAGGAAATGACAAAGACAGTGAAAGGGAGAGGAAGAAAGATAAGAAAGAACAACCAAACCTGCTGGGGTTGCTCGGAGGAGGCTGTCAGAGGTAGGGCAAAAGCAGACCTAACCATTGGCTATCAGAAATGAGTGGTAGCTAGCCATGCTTCAGAAATTGAGAGGAAATTCGGCTATTTGGAGAGCTCTATCAGAGAATAGACAGAGTAACAGAAAAGGTGATCATATTACTTCATACCTGAAAATAGAAATTTTTTATTTCTTTGAGTGAAAGGAAACAGAATAGAAAGAGTAAAAGAAAAAGAGAATTGGGTGCAGAGAAAACAAGATGATGGGTGCTTTATTTGATGTGGGATTTCATCAATGATGGACTTGCAGGCTTCGGCATGTTTGTGTGTGGAAGTAGATAGTAAAAAGAAGTTTAAACAATAATAAAAGATAACTCGTGAGTATAAAGTTATCCATGCACCTAGCAATATTAGAAGATAAAGTTCTACTTTGCCTGCAAGCATGCCATGTTACACTAATATAATGCACACATAAATCATAACTTCAACTATTAAGTGAAGCTCATACATAGTTTTGTTCTAATATTAAACAACAATAAAAGGTAACTCGTGAGCACAAAGTTATCCATGCACCTAGCAATAGTAGAAGATAAAGTTCCACTTTGCCTGCAGACAAGCCATGTGTCACTAATATACTTCTCATTAAGTAAAGTGAAGGGTTTTCTTTGGATCCCGGAACTTAACAGAAATTATACAAGTAAATCTTATTATTTTAATCAAGTCCAAACAAACAAGCCGCCCTTACAAGACTAGGATTTTAAAATCAAATTAAAAGTGTTATATTTGATACAGCCAACACTCTACAAGCCTGAATGAAAAATCTAATTCAACAGTTATCAACAAAACTAGTAAAACCAAGCTGCTGCAAGGATATCCTGTGACATTTAAGGCACTCTTCTATAAGAAAACCTCAAATTCCTCGAGAAATCAGTCCAAACTGGAACAACTCAACAAAAGGCAAGAAATTCTTGGAATTAACAGATGAAGACCATCATTAAGCTACCTAGATAACAGCACCGAAAGCGATGATTAACAGGAAAAATGCATACTTTATGGTGACTACAAACCTCAAGATGGAAGCTTGTAGAAAGAATATAAAAGAGGATCACATAACAGCATTATCACAGTAAGTAATAATGGTAGCTATATACCAGAATATGATTAAGGTCCAATATTATCAAATACTATCTAAAGTTCCTGCTTAGACTATCTGTCTGTTATGAAGAAATCACGATATCCCAGAATTCAATTCCAAATATATAAACAGCACAATCCATTCGATACAAAATTCCAAACCAGAATGCAAGAAAAAGCCAGAATACCAGAATACATTAGCTGAGGAGAACGACAGTGCTGGACTCAGGATAGCTACAGCGAGGAGACGAGGTCACGAGCAACAGCGAAGCTCGATGCCAAGGCCGAACCTGAAACTCCATAAGCGAGATAGAAGAGCACGAACTTGAAGGCAATAGGCACGAAAATGAGCACTAAGGAGCACGAATCACAACCACCAGCATTCGCTCGGGCACTAAGGAGGATGAGGAAGGACCACAAACCACAAGATATTAGTCAGCAGTAAGGCGACGGTGGCGAGAAGCAGGAAGGATGACTACAGAAAGGGGAGAGGGTTTTTGCCTTTGGGAGGCACCTTTTTTTTTTCTTTTTTTGTTTTTTAAGTTAAGGCGCCCTTGGACTATTTTTTTCTAAAGTTGCGTGCGGCGAAATTTTACCCGAAATAATTAAAATGGGGCACCCTCATCCCTGCCGTTAAATCTTAAACGTCGGTTAAGCTTTCCCTTGTGCTGCTTTTCCTTCCCTTCTTGTCCCTTTCACTCATCAACCACGCCGGCTATGGCGTCCTCCATCAACTAAAGACACTATCAAGTAAAAGTGATTGAAGGTTTGTATCATCAGTTGTCAATTATCAAATTATTACAAACCAAAATTAATGTGCCTCGTACTCACTGAATCTTCCTATATTACACATTTCAAAAAGTTCTCTACCAGTAGCATGTTCCATGACTATAGTTAGATGAGCCGAGTCAGCAAAATCTAAGCAATGGATAATCTTATAATAATTCAATCAACTTTACAATGAATCTCTTCTTCCCTCTTGAAACAAAAGGGAATCAAAGAACATGTGTTTCTGTTTACCGGGAAAAAAGAAAAAAACAAAAAACTTGTGTTTCTGAGTTTAATAGTTGAGATAAAAATGGGCCTTACCCTCTGAAATTGAATGATGTTAGAGTGTTTCAATCCTTCTAATCGCACAGGTGAGCATATCCAATTCTTACAAAGTTTGCCATTTAGAATTATTTTCTCTGTAAGTATGTAGTTAGCCGTGACCTGCCAATTCTGACAAAGAAGTAATCTAAATTCATCAACAGGGTAGAGAAGATAAAGACATTCTTATAGTTTTTATACCAGCACACAGGTTACATATCGCGGAAGTTAACCACAGTAAAACTAAAACTGAAACAATTCTAATACTGTTTTGATAAAAAATGGGGGGGGGGGGTTAAGGTATTTTGTTAGATGTATTCAGTATCTTGAAGTTATTTGTGGCGTAATTTTATTACTACTAATTAAAATAGAGCAATCCCATCCTGCCGTTGAAATTGAAACCTCCGTAAAGCTTTCTCCATTCTCTCCTTTCCTTTATTCATCAAAGGCGGCGGCGGCGGCGGCTTCTGGCGAGGAGCAAGAAAGGCAGGGTCGGCGGTGAGAGAGGGAGCATGATTTCTACAAGATATGGGATATGAGATTGTCAATGGAACAATATGAGATAATCAAAGATGGTGTTGCCAAGCTGATTAGAGAGAAACGGATCGATAGAGTAGGTAAGCAGACAAAATGGCGAACTTGAGTTTGAAGTATTGTAGGAAAGGTGAAAGAAGACTTTTGTTGGATATGTGTCCACAGCTTTAGACGATGATAAGGGAGGAGAAAGAGTCGCAAAGATGCAAAGATGGAAAGACACAAGCTAAGGATCGCTACCTTTGGTTGTGGGTCTCTTTTTTGGTTTTTTAGTTTGAGCCTAGGTCTTTAGCCTCTTTTATTATAAAAAGAGAGAAAATAATTCCATGACCGATTATCTTGTCAAGTTGTCATATAATATGAAAAAAAATTATTGCACCTTTGATCACAATCTATCTTTCTTAACGAGAGATGGATGTTGATGAAAGAAATAACCTTAACTTTGCTATCTTGTGATTAATGGATATATAGTTGCTATTAAAAAAAATAAAAACTTCCGCCATATATGTAGCTCAAAATCTCGTATGGTCAAATCTTCCTTCTACTAATGGACAGTGCTATAATTTTGTTGGTTCTATTTATCGGAACAATGAAGAAGCTGGGCGGTCGGCCATGTAATGGAAGCTGGAATTACTTCTTGCTAAATGAATCGAACTCATGAGATTATTTGAAGGTATCCACTCAAATGTCCCCACTAATCAACAAAAGATGCTTAGGCTCTATTTGTTCAAGCGTTTGAGTCTTTCAAAAATAACTTATTCAGCTCATAAGCACGTTTAAGAAATTCTGGCATGTTTGGATGAGTTTATTCTCTATCCTACTTAATGGCTAAAAGCTGGATTCATAAACCCAATTGAGTTAAGCACCTCAGAGCTGCTTATTGCTTTTTCATTGCGCTTATAGATGAATGGTAAGGTATTGTTAAAATAATAATTACTCTTAGAAAAAAAAAATTCCCACTTCTTGTCCCCATTCTCCACTCACTCTTCTTGACTCCATTTTCTTGCTCCTTCATCTATTCCTGTAAGAAAATGGGCCAGTCCACCCTTGGTGGATTGGACCCAAGCCTATTGACATTTGGGGTTCTGGTGTGAATAGCAAAATTGATAGGTCTCTGACTGTAATTTTTGCCTATTTATATGATTTGCAACAAATAAAAAAGAGGGAACGGTTGGATAGAGGAGGCAGTTTATTTTTATTTCAAAAGGATGGAGTTAAAAAACCAAAATGGGATCATTTAGTACGGTACCACAATTTTGCTTTCCTGACAATCCTCCCTCTAGCACTCTCCCTCTCGTCTCCCCCCTCTGGTGTTTTTTGCTGTGTAACACCGATCTGAGTTTGTCGTTGTGACCGGACCTCTGCGTGTAGCTATCTGAGATCATTCGACACTTTAGGTATGCCCAAAATTCATCAATTCCTTTCCTCCTCTCATCCGACTTGTCCTTGCCATCACCTAATCATGCTGGCTATCTCCAACTCCTGGCCGCTATCACACCATCGAGAGCAAGGCAAGAGTTGACCGGTTCCATCACAAGTTAGGTGACCCAGATTTTGACAAAGATGAAGAAAAGGAAAATGATCTGTTGCCTGTAGGGATTAATGGGTTATCAAGATATTGAAAAGTTATAAATAAAAAATAATTCAATAAAAGAGGTGGTGAATACATGCCTACATATTTTACGATGGTTAACATTAGCTTTTTTTATTAGAGTTTGTTTGGCTCACTAAGAGGAAGGGGAGGGAAGGAAAGTGGAAGGATTTTAATATTACTTTGTTTGAATTTGTAAAAAAGAGGGGAGGAGAAGAATTTTAATATTACCTTGTTTGGTTCATGAGGGGAGGAAAAAAATTTTACCATGGACAATTTTGCCCTTATTTTATTTAAGATTATTTTTTCAAATTTTATAGAATGTTTAATAAAATAGAATTGTAAATAACATTTAATATATTGAGCAATACTTGTATCAAAATTCTAATATACTCTAGAATGTGAAGTATTATTAAAAAAAAGCTAAAATAATGTTCAACCACAAGTTGTATTATATCCCATCTTTGAATGAAATATTTGGTCATACAAAGGAGAGAGTAGCGTCTGGAGACAAAAAGAGAAGGATTTAAAGTAGTATAGGGATATTAAAAATAAATATGGGCATAATAGTCATAACATGACAAAATATTGCCCTTTTTCCTCCAAATCCTCCCAATTTTGGAAGGAAGGTTGAGGAGGAGAAGGGAAGGAAAATTTTTGAAAACTTTTCCTTCCCTCCTAAACTTTGTGTATTGTCAAACAAGGAGAAATGATTAAAATCCTTCCCTCTCCCTCCCTTTCCCTCCAAATCCCTCATACTAAACTCACCCTTAGAGTTCTGTAGAGATACCCCCCTTTGGCATCTTATTTCTTTGATACATTAGGAAATTTTTATTTGAATTAAATCTAAATTTAGAAATTATTTCCTTATTAAAAAATATGTTCTGTAAATTTTCTAAGCCAAATATATTTATTTCATTAAATTTAACTTCTTCTAATTAAAATGATTTAAAATTATGGTATTATGTAAACTGACAATTTTTTTCATTTTACATTATTTAATAAAGTCATAACTATTTTGGTAATTTTATAAACTAAACTTACTCATTCAATCATCATCCAAACAACTTCTAATTTTATCTAATCTAACTTTTTCAAAAGCCAATCTAAATATAAATCATATTATCCAATCTCACTTTTTGAAAAGTCAGATTAAAAATAAGCTACTTTTTCTATCGTTATTCCAAATATGCACTTAATCAATTCCTCTAACTAACTAAGTAACTCAATGTGGTTAATAAAAGATACTACATCCAGTCCTTAATATAAAAGCTGATTGACTGATTTAAATTAGATTAAGGAAATTAGTCAAATTAGTTATCTGTAATAAATAAGTATTATTTTTTCTAAAATATTCTTGCTAATTAAGTGTATTGGCTAGAATTACCATTATTATAAGGACTATCTTAGAAAGAAATGGATAAATATGAGAGACAAAATAGATTAGTTTCTTATATTAATGATCAAAATAAAATTCAAATGAACTCTTATATTAAGGACCAAAGGTAGTATTTATATTGAAATTTTAAATATTAATAAAATATTCTTAAATATTAATATATTAGGTTGAATCTTCACAAATAACAATGATTGAAATAAAAATTATTATTTCGTACCAATGATACTATAGTCAAAGGATTAACAAAATACTTTACAAAGTTAACAGGCTAAAGTAAAAACTTATACAAAATTAAAGAATAAAAGTACATTTTTATTCATGCAAAAAAAAGTACACTTTTGCTTAATAAAAATAGAGAAAAAGACAGGAAAATACCCTTAAAGATGTGAAAACCCATATAAGTGCATGTGAAAAGCAAAATTCCATATCAAACCTGGGGTACTGATCTGGCATTTACAAATGTTAGCCAAAGACATAATTGCTCCCTATCAATGCACAAAAGAAAGACAATACAGAAGGAAGCTTGTGACCGGGAGAGCTTGTGGGAAGGCAAAGAAGGGAATGAAAATCGGTGGAAACTATTGAAGAAAGGCAAGGTAAGTTTAATTCTAAAGTAATTAATACTGTCTGAAGTTCAGCTTCTTCTTCCTCCTCTCTTGATGGTCGTTATTTCGGCAGGCTGTGTAAAATTTCGAGTGGGTTTTAGGTGGGTTAAGAGGTGAAGGTGTTGGGTTATTATTTTTACTGTTGCAAAGAACTTCATTCACAGGTTTTGGTCTTTCATTTTGTGGGTCTACATTGGTAGAAAGTGTTAAGTAAATTACTTCATTGGTGTCCGATATAGGGTTAGATTGTTTACTATTTGAGTATG